CTCTCTCTCTCTCTCTCTCTCTCTCTCTCTCTCTCTCTCTCTCTCTCTCTCTCTCTCTCTCTCTCTCTCTCTCTCTCTCTGCGCGTGTGTGTGTGTGTGTGTGTGTGTGCGAGGAGGGGGAAGAGGGGACGAGGTGGAAGGACGTGTCGTGTATGGCTTTTGCAAGGGCTACAAATAGCGCATCCGGCGACGGGTCAGGCGTGAGCTCGCGCCGTCCGCAAGCACGTACTTGCGGAGGGTGACGGTGGGGAAAAGGTGGTGAGGGGGCTCAATGCTTTTCATAATGACTCTGGTAGCCGCTTCGATTCACCGGAGCTGATTATCAGCTGATTAACAGCAGGAAGGAGATCTCTCTGATTGGCCGTGACCATTAGCAGGCTGCCGTTGAAGAGAGTGTTGTCGTTCGTGTACTCGTGATCGTTCTTCTTGGTAACCTCCATTTCTCTCTCTCTCTCTCTCTCTCTCTCTCTCTCTCTCTCTCTCTCTCTCTCTCTGCCCTCTCCCACTAACCCCGTGTGTGGTCGTGTGTGTGTGTGCATGTCTGTCTCTCTCGCCTCCTCGCACACACGCGCAGACACAGATCATCTGTCTCTCTCCTTCTCTCTCTCTCTCTCTCTCTCTCTCTCTCTCTCTCTCTCTCTCTCTCTCTCTCTCTCTCTCTCTCTCTCTCTCTCTGTATGTCTATGCCACACCTCTGTCTGTGTGTGTGTGAGAGATGTGACGAGGAACGTGGCCGGGTCTCTCTCTTTCTCTCTCTCTCTCTCTCTCTGTCTTTGCCACACCTCTGTCTGTGTGTGTGTGTGAGGGAGAGAGAGAGAGAAAGCGACTAGAGAGAGAGAGAGAGAGAGAGAGAGAGAGAGAGAGAGAGAGAGAGACGTAGACAGACACCTTCACACACTTGGTGTGATCACGAGCTCCGCGGCACCACTCAGCAAATGTTCGAAATAAGAATGAATCGTCCGCTAGGGCATGGAAAGATGCATTGCCGTTCACCGGAGATGGAACTCCGGTCTGCATTTCGACAGTTCATCACCCCAGTCGGGATTCATGGCTATTCTGCTTCCTTCGCTCCATCAGCTTCTGATTTAAGCTTGCACGTGCTCATCTCGCTGGGTTTTCTGCATTTACCTCAGTCGTTTTTTTTTGGTTTTCTGCATTTACCTCAGTCTTTTTTTTTTTTGTTTTGAACCGCTTGCACGTGCTCATCTCGCTGGGTTTTCTGCATTTACCTCAGTCTTTTCTTTTTTTGTTTTGAACCACAAAGACATCCTTTTTCCTATATGCGAGGTGTCTGCTCTTTTCTGCTTCGCTTGTGATTGCCAACGATTGCTTCAAAAAAAATTCATCATTGAAATCTAAAAAGAAGAGTAACTATCCAGGGCAGTAGTACGAGTGTTTTTTTTTTTTTTTGTTTTGTTGTGTGTGTGTGTGTGTGTTTGTTTTTTTTGGCATTTGGCAACGAATGCTTTTGTGGTGCGATGAGTCGCGTCCAGTTATGGGTCGGGAGGAGATGGCGGATAATGCGAATATCGAGTTCGAGTCCGAACTGGGGGTATACCGAGCCGAAGTCTCTGGCGGGTGCAAAGGTGCGTATTAATACCAGGACTTTGACGAATGTATCTGTATCTGGTCCTGAACTAGCCTAAGGTTCTTTTGATGAGTTCATTTCTCTGGTGTGTGTGAATAGCACTGAATACGGTGACGAGTCCAATTCTCTGGTCTGTGTGAATACGGTGTTGTTGAGTGCTATTCTGTATTGTGTGTGTGTGATATCTTGAATCCTGACAGGTTCGGTTCCAGTTATGGGTCGGGAGGAGATGGAGTATAAAGCCAGTTCGAGTGCTGAGCCGTGTTATACCGAGCCGAAGTCAAGGGTGGCTGAAGAGAAGAGACCGCCGCTGGTGTTCCCTACAACCCGCTACATGCTGTGGGTGCTGAGTAAATTGCTGCATCATGGCTTTTTCGGAATGATCATCAGCGTTGCTCTCACACTGGTTTCCTTTTTTGCAAAGATTGCCCTATCCGTTTTAGGTGAGCAAACTGGGAGAATACCACCTAGCCTAGCTCAGTTGGTACACCCATAAACTGCCGAACCGTGAGAAAAGAGAAAAAAAAAGGCGTAATTAGGGCGCAGTTACGATTTCTGTTAAAAATCCAGCTCAGGCATCCATCAAATACAACACTTCCCCTCACGACCCTGAAGGTAGGTTGTACACATTCAGGATCATCTTCCTCTGTTTGGATACAAAATAACATTCGCCAAATCGCTTTCGCGAATCAAATGCGAATGCGATTTCAAAAACTGGAAACCAAAAAGTAAAAAAAAAAAAAAAAAAACAACAACTGAAAACCCGTGACAGCTTTCACAAGAACGAAAGGAGGACAAGAAACGAACTGCTGCTGAACCGCAGACCTCGTTCCCAAGTTCGAACCCAGATGGAATCAGTCGTTATGGTTGTCGCGGTAAGCATGGGCCTCGCACCACTACCATTATTCTACTACATGTATTTGGACACTTTTCTTGACCAGCTTCATTCGGAGATCTCAACCGTTCTGAATGTATCGGGGCGATCATGAGCTCCAGATACGTGCGCAGTGTTGTGTAGTATGAGTACTGGAGCGAGACTCCTTTGATTCTTTGATAGTTAAAGTCTAACCCCGTTTCTCTCTCTCTCTCTCTCTCTCTCTCTCTCTCTCTCTCTCTCTCTCTCTCTCTCTCTCTCTCTCTCTCTCCCTCTCCTGTTTGTCAGTGGTGTTTAAGGACATACCTGTCCTTCCGTAAGTCCTGAAAATGATTTATAATTGCCTTTGTTTGATTGCATCTTGGAAAAAAAGGAAAGCACAGTCTTCTTGCAGATCTCTCTCTCTCTCTCTCTCTCTCTCTCTCTCTCTCTCTCTCTCTCTCTCT